TATATTCATGAATTCATTTTATTTTTTGACTCCCAAAGTAGTGGTTTTGGTCGATAATTGGACTAGTATTTTTCTGTCTATTTTCAACTAGTTTGATACTGGAATATTTCTGACCGAAATCTGACAATTGCCATCTCGTAGGACATCCCCATGTTAAAAATACCAGTTGGTTGCATGGAAAAAAGATAGTTGGCTGACTAGTTGGGCATGTGGTTCATATTAGTTGTGAAGTAGTTTACAACTAGTACATTTGACTACAGGGAGACTTTGTTTGACACTTCGCTTCTATTGTCAAAGGCGAATCTGTGGTAACTTTATTTTAATCATAACATAACCTTAAAACTCAGTAAATTTCTTGTATGAATTCATTTAATTTTACTTTACGTTATTATTTAGATTTACAACTGTGGACTAAAGATTAGAATTAATATTAGCCCTTTGCACGTATGTACAGTATCGGTCATATCGTTTTTTGAATAAAATGTTTTTCTTCAAGCAGCAACAACTTTCTGTCTACTGTTGTCAAACTTAAACTTATAACACAAATCTGCTAAATATTTTTCTTTCAACACAAGATTTGGTAACTATAACTTAATCATGTGACGATAACCAAAGCATGTTTTGAGAGAGACATACACAACACACATTTGAAAATACCTCTATGAAAAGCACGCTAAAGCTGAGATCCCACGATTGCCGCAAATGGACCAATCTGGAAAAATTTTTATTGTGCTGTATTGGAGCACAATAAAAAAATTGTCCCAATGAAATTCTGTACAGTCACACGGTTGCCTCTTTTTATACAATTCTCATTGCCGTAAGTTGGCGAAAAGCAATATAGTGACAATAATTGCCCCAAACATATCACACGATTGTTCGAGCATGCGGCAATTGTGACCATAAAGTGTTGCGCTGACCTCTAAATTCTGTTTTTTTCTCTGTTGTGTAAAAATGGCGTATTCTTAATAAAAAAAATAAATCAATTGCATCTGCTTTGTATATTGCGGGCTAATTTTGTGCAAATTTGTTGTTGTTTAAAAGCAAAGAAGCAAAAACTTGTGCCCAACGAAAACTCACGCATTTATTTAGAAGTTTGAGTGTATAGTGTTTTTATTTTTCGACGATAACTGCAACGTGCTATGTGGAGTTCAAGTTGCAACAGTTTTCTTTTTAGCTTTGTTACCTAGAGGTTTTTTTATTCATTGCAAGTAAAATTGGTACAAAAGAGTTATGTTTGTTTAAATGAAAGCTGAGAATTTACATAATTTATGTTTGGAATGAAATTTTATAATTATATGTACAGCTCGCAACAAAAGATAGCACCTTAACATTTTGATCAGTCTTGACTTTTTTCTTCTGTTGTTTAATCTTAATTTTTTCCTATAAACCCATAGCTCATTGTCTAGTAAAAACCTGAACTTTTAAGTTTTTTTTTAATAAATTTATACTGTCATGGCAGTCCGCCATTTGGTGACGTAAAATACCTTTCGTATTCTTCTCGTATCAGTTTTGCTTGTGATGGTATATATCGCGGCAAAGATTCCGTCATCGGACTTCAAGAAAAATTATAATTTCAATACAAATTAAATTAAAAGTTATGTTGCTTCCGAAAACAAGGATATTAATTTCAGCGATTTTTGGACACTTAAGGAAGCAAAAAAGTAAATTATTAATAAACAGCCTAAATATTGATGTGTATTGTTCACTTCAATTGCCTCACAAGAACACAATAAATATTGCCGCAATTTTGAAATTTTCATTGTCCCATGATTGCCAATCGAGCTATCACACGATTGGCGCACACGGGCCGTATTTGATTGGGCACAGTAAGCACAATATCGGCCTCTATTGCCGCATGAGTCAATGTATTGTGAAATCACACGATTGGGGCATAAAATGAGGCAATAATTGGTGTATTGCGGCAATCGTGGGATCCCAGCTTAATGCAAGAGAAAATATCCAATATATCTGAGAAGGTGCAGTTGTCTAATGCTTCAGATCCAGCGTCTGAAATTTGTAGTTTAACAAGTGAAATTTTTACTCCACAAGAAATCCATCTCGATCATCTCAATGCTGTTGCTAATATGTTATGTTTGTCTCCAATAAAAAAAAAGGTTTAAAACGAACAAAAACTTATGCTCTACAAAAATATAATGATGTGACATCTAAAATAAAATCATCCTTTGAGCTTGCGATGGATAATACTTTCGACACGATTGACGGTGATGATTTCGTTCCTGGCGGTAAGGCAGAATCGACTGGAAAAGAAATGATAGCTCAGTTGAAGAATAAATTTGACAGTACTGGCAAATGGAGTGAAAAATTGCAAATCCTGTCTGTCTTACCATCAAGTTGGTCAGCAAAACAAATTGCCCATATTTTCGAAGCATCATCGTACATGGCTAAAAAAATGAAAGAAAAAGTGAAACACGACGGTATTTTACTTTTTCCTGAACGAAGTAAAGGTCATCCGTTGTTAAAAACCACTGAAGAAAAAATTCAAGAGTTTTTTAAAAATCAAGACATCAGCAGAGAACTACCGGGCAAAATGAATATAAATCCGTTTATAAATCCGTTTATGAAAACGGCCAACGAGTGCAAAAGCAAAAACGATTGATCTTGGGTAACCTTAAAGAAATTTTTCACTTGTTCCAACAAAAATATCCATTTGAAAAAGTATTTTTCTCAAAATTTGCTAGTTTAAGACCACCTGAATGTGTTCTTGCCGGTGCATGGGGCACTCACGTAGTATGTGTTTGTCGTATTCACGAAAATTTTAAACTATTATTTTATGGTGCAAAACTGCACAATTTAAAACTTAAGGACGGAAGCCAGCCATTGCCTTCACACCGGAGTTGTATGGAAATCGTTATTTGTCAATCACCTACGGAAAACTGTTACTTTGGTGTATTTTTTTCTTGAATAATATTCCAAAATTACTTCAACATGATTTTGTAGCTAAACAACAAGCC